TTTTTTWATGCTAATCATGGTGTTTCTGATATATTTGACTGTAATGACAACAGCCGTCATCATCCAGGTAAGCTATGAACCACCTGTAACAAAAAAAGTAGATTCGACTGTGTTGCGATTAAAATAAGTTTGTTATGGTTACATATATATTTAAAGGCACACTCAAATAACTCKACTAAATAGTAACTAGTAGCTGTAAGTTACTATTTGTCTCGGTGTGTGCTCACTGTTTATTCAGCAAGGTTCTGGTAAATATCATGTCCACTCATGTTGACTCTTCAAAGCTCAGCTGCTTCTTGGTTTGAACGAATTGCAACATGTTTCTGACATGATTCAAGTCTAAACACTGCAGCTAACCTGATGTAAGACCAGTCAGAGTGCTCTGTGGACCCCTGCTGAAGACTTTTGCCTCTTGTTACTGACACATGACTAAAGACCATGCGATTATAAATACACAGCAACCACTCAGTGTTGTATAAAGTACCACAAAGTGATACTTGAGTAAAAGTACAAGTATCTTCACAAAAAAATTACTTTTGTAAAAGTTAGTCTCTTTTAGGAATATTACTTGAGTAAAAGTCTTAAAGTATCTGATATTTTTGTACTTAAGTACTAAAAGTAAAAGTATTGATTTAAAATAAGCAGTTAGATTTTCCATAAAGACATTTATTAGGAGGTGACCTCCCTGCAAAAAATGCAGAAATGACTGTCGTATTAAAATAATTAGTTATGTTAAATTTAGGATGTTTCAGTTTATAAACATATATCAAAGCTGCACAAACCTTTTCCCCAAAATAAAAACCTATCTGAGGGCTGCAGTCAAATGAAATAATATAATTYATGAAATACAAATACTTCTTAAGTACAGTCCTTTTATTTTAATGATTATGTCCTGCTGGAGTGTGACATGATTTGTTTGTGTACAAACTTAATAGAGTATCATAATTTTATTTATACTTCTCATTCAACCACAATTAAATTCACTCCATCTAGGAGGCACAATTTATATGGATAGTATTTATTTTTTACAATAAGAAGCTGGAATGAAAACAAGTAAAAGGAAATAAAATTAACGACTTTCTACTTCTTGCTTTTTTTAAATGTAAGGAGTAGAAAGTACAGAAAATTGTGTGAAAATGTAAGAAGTAGAAGTAAAAAGTAGACTGAAAAATAATTACTCGAGTAAAGTACAGATACCCAAAAATTCTACTTAAGTGCAGTAACAAAGTATTTGTACTTTGTTACTTTACAACTCTGCAACCATTGGATGGATTTTAATAAAACATTCAGGTAATAATTTTTGGTTGGACGTCTGCAACCGAACAGCTGTTTGAGTCAACCTCATTTAAGATGTTTAAGATAACCACTGCAGCCAACCAACTAAAAAAATACAAAAATGGCTGCAACTCAGTCTAATTTACAGATACTGACCTAAAATGAAATGTTGTAGCAGCTGAGTCATTTACAGCCCATATTCTGAGTRTGGCTTAAATAAAACTTCTTTCTTTGAAGGAAAATACACTGTCTGTTGCTTTTCATGCATGCAACATTGCGAGATGTTTGCATACATCAGTTTAGGAGGTTTTGCATGGTCCAGCTGCAATTTTTTTTGTGTTTTGTTCAATCCCTCCAGGTGACAGCTAGCTGCCCAGTAGTGTGCGAGTGTCCTGCGGCGCCCCCTGTGTGCCCCCCGGGTGTTAGCACCGTTCCAGACAGATGTGGCTGCTGCAAGGTGTGCGCCGCACAACTTAACCAAGACTGCAGCCCCACGAGGCCCTGCGACCACCACAAAGGACTGGAGTGTAACTACGGGAATGACGTGTCCGTGGCCTGGGGCATCTGTCGAGGTGAGGGCTGCAGGCGGTGACTCTCGCTTTGAAAACCGCTGCCATCTGYAATAAATCAAACCTTGATTTATTCTCCGTCACCCATCCAAAAATATTTACATGCTTTAAAAAAAGGAAGTCGTAGTGAATTTAGCATGACAAAGCAACAGGGACATTTTAGTGAGTGGAGGATATTTCATGATGGTGAAAGGGGGTTACAGAGATAAAAATACACTTCCCATGTGTACCATGCCAGTGATTCCATGCAAGCTATGAATAGCCACTTCTTGGAGACAAGGAGTCTGACACATCCTGTTTTCTCATTTCCACTTACTTTTCAGTCTTTGTAAGTCAATATCAGACATCTGTGACCTTTGCTCTGGTGTTCAGTGAAACAAAACCTACTTGAGAATTGAAATAAAGATTTAGAAAATAAAATAACACAACTCGTCATTAAGATTTTTGGAAATTTTTAGTTTAGTTTAGTTTGATAGTTTATTCATTTCGATTAAAAACAAAACTTTCAATACAACAAAAAAACACAAATCTCATAAAATGAAAGGAAGCAGAAGAAAAAAGAATCTTATAACATCTGCCCCTATTTAGCGAAAAAATGATAAAAATAAAAATATATACAAATTTATATGTGTACACATACACACATTCATATATACATATATACACATGCACTTATATAATTTTACACCCTCATCAGCATAACAAAAAAAATTTTTTGATTAACCCCTCAAACATCAGCTTCATATTTTTTCAACAATTTAATTTTTATCATTTTACCAAATAAATCAATCGAGTCAGCATTTTTATAATCGCTGTCCAAGTTATTCCACAATCTTATTCCTTGAACTGAGGTACATCTATCCTTCAAGTTTGTTCGAATTTTAGGTTTTATAAACATTTCAAATCCTTTCAAATTATAACAACTAAAATGAGTTGTTACCAATATAACCCAATGTTAGTTTTTTTTTTCTTATTTGAAAAACGAAACATTTTTACATACCCACTTGGATCAAATTTATTTACTGAATTATGGAGGCCTATCTTACTATATTTATGTAAAASTACTCCACTTTGAAATAAACATATTTACATATAAGTAAGCATTTAAAATCTTGACAGATTGTCATATTTTTTTGTGATTTACTATTTTTTTAATGTCTGTAACTTTATGTGATTATTTTGGAGTCAGACAAAGCTTTGCATAGCAATCAAGTGTAAATCCATGTCATGTCTGCAGCACTTGTCCTTTCACAGTGGAGGAAGTGATTCTTTGTGCTCAACCAGAAAAAACTACAGCAAATATTCACTTAATGATCCACAACAGCCTGGGCTGGCTTGCAGCCAAAGTGCTTTCAATTACACTCAGACTGCCATTAGAGCTTTTAGCGTCTAGCTCTGAACTTCTTATTTTTGCGTGTGTCTTGTTTTGTTGTTCAGCTAAATCAGAGGGACGCTCGTGTGAGTACAACGGCAAGATCTACCAAAATGGTGAGAGCTTCCGTGCCGGCTGTAAACACCAGTGTACCTGCATCGATGGAGCCGTTGGCTGCGCTTCGCTCTGCAGCAACAAGCTGCCAGCTGCTTCACCGTCCTGCCCCTACCCACGTCTGGTCAGGGTGCCGGGACAGTGCTGCTTCAGTGTCAACTGCAACAAAGACGTCTGGCTTTTCCTACCTAAGCATCAGGTTTGTTTTATCTGTGGTTAAAACTGAGGTGCGGTCGCACGCAGCCGCAGCGTAAAATAAATCACCTCTCACCTTTGCAACAGGTGCCCTCAATACAACAGCACCACGCTGTGCCACATCAGCATCAACATGAGCCAGTCCTGACCAACATGCTTCCTGACGCCAAGTCCAGAAACTGGGGGAGTGAAATGTTTTTTAATAATCTGCCTGGTGAGTTTGACTTTTTCTGAAAGGAGGAAGTTTTGTATCTGGAGCTTGATTTTGCTGCGCGTAACATAAAATATATTTAATTTGTTTCTTTTTCACAAAGTTATAATCTGCGTGCAGAATAGATGGGTCAGAACAAACGTCCTGAACTTTCATAAGTGTAGCAGAAAAGGAACAACCGTATCTGTCTGATCTGTCACAACACACACAAAAAAGAAGATATTAGGACTTTCAAGACAACAAAATGTCTTTTTGCTCTATGCTTGTATCACACCAACAGACAGAGGGAAAACTTAAGAGAAAAGTCTGCGTAAGTAGCTAAAGACCGCTTTTCATGCCAATTTTAAACCAAGATAATCTTTTAATGAGAAATGACAAAATTATAGCCATTTTGGTCTTCCTTAGGAGGACTTGGACAGGATTAAATAACGTGAGAGCATTCTGGTTCACAGAGCTAAACAATGGGTTGATGTGAGTCTCTCTACAGCTCTGATGTCACTTCCTGTTTCACTTTAGCTAAGCCAAATTCAAAGGAAAATATGCCAGTTATGGGACAAAATTGGTTAAATTGTGTGTATTATTCCAACTTTCTTAAATATAAAGATGTTTTCTTTGATTTTTTTTTTGTATTTGAAGAATATGCATGTCACAGGCACTTTAAGTTGGCTGCAGCATTAAGAGATGGTTCAGGAAAATTATTACACAAGAGATTAAACCTTTGTTGGCAAATAAGATGGTAGTTATTTAAAAGAAATAAAAGTTGGAAGCTTCTGTCAGTATYCTTATGTTAGCTTACGCTGTACTCTCGTTATTTGTTGTTTATTAGGTTCTCCTTCGTTTCAACATTCATCAGTGGGGAACACCCCGGAGGAGAAACGGTGTCCCGTCCTAACTACCAAGTGGTCCCAGTGCTCAMGCAGCTGTGGGATGGGCGTTTCTTCTCGCATATCTAACAAGAACCCCCAGTGCAAGCTGAAAAAGGAGACGAGACTCTGCACTGTACGGCCGTGCCACAGCCTGACCGCCCCAGCTAAGGTGAGGTGGACTGAGCTCAGCATAAACTCAGGGARGAGACGGGTGCAGGTCCAACACCCTCATCATTTCCAAGACAACTTATCACTCAGAGCCTAACATTGTAATGCTGTGATAACGCTTATCAATGACCGTATACCTCTTAACAGTATCAGTAGGATTAAAAATAAATGCAAGACCTGAAAATRTCAAACCTGTGCAGCAAATTATAAAAAAAATGTATGTCCTGAGTATAAATGATTATATAATTTAAAAAATAAAACCTTTACCCTGAGCCTCTGAGCTCAGACTGCATCAGCAGTAATTTTGGGAAGCACCACATTCAGTGGAGCAGTGTTCAGCTGTGTTTTGGTTCCAGGCAGGCGCCTTCTTAAATATAGTCCATCATTGTTGGCAGTCCTGCCAAGACAGGGGTTGAGGAGGAGGAGTGTGTCTGTAGTCTGGCCTGGTCTGTGTACTCAGAGTCCAGGGAAATACTGTGTCTATATTAACCCTCTGTTTCTAACACAGCTCCACCGAGGTTAACCCTCTGCTGATAAAAGTGCTCACAGATTAGTTTATTTAAAGGTAAAGGAATTTAATCACCTCTAGCTAAAAATAGTTGTTTTGAGTTCTGGTAGCAAATCAACACCATCCTGTTTGTCAAAAATCTCAAAACGTGTCATGGTACATTTTGGGTTAAGTTTTTATGTTTCCTGAAACGTCTTTAAAAAAAATGGCTTAGGCCATTATTCTAGCAAGGTGACAAAATGAGTTGGATTGTAAACTTGAAATGAAATGATCATCAGTTTATTTAACTGGTAACAGCACTAATCTTCCCTTCTTTTTGTTCCACAGAAAGGAAAGAGCTGCTCCCCGACTCGGAGAGCCCCAGAGCCCCTCCGTCTGTCCTACGGGGAATGTGCGAGCGTCCGTCTTTACCGCCCCAACTACTGCGGCGTGTGTACGGACGGCCTGTGCTGCTCGCCGCGACGCACGCGCACCCTGCCCGTGACTTTTGTATGCCCGGACGGCGAGCGCTTCCAGAGGCCGACCATGTTCATCCAGTCGTGTAAATGCAACAGTGATTGCGGCCACCTCAATGAAGTGGCCCTTCCTCCACAGCACTGGATGTATGGAGACACGCATAAATTTACTGAGTGAACCTCGCTCTCGTTTTTAAATCTCATGAGGATGCTTCGAAACGAGGAGCCAAGCGAAACGAGTAAATACTAAAAGCAGGAAAGAGATCCATATCTTACAGACAACCCAGGATGTAATATGTGACCAGAGTGGACTGCACACTCGGTAGTTCTTGTTTAAAATGATGTGGGATCCAAGTTAAAGTCCTGAACTTCCTAACTGATTCRGGATTAGATTTGAGCTGCTCTGATCAGCCGATTGGAGACAAAAGCAAYAACGCACTTTACGTGGTGGTAACGTTTAGTCATGAGTTTCTGTAGGTGAGACTTTATTTGAAATGTACAAAATCAGTACAGTGTTGTGAATATAAACAAAGGCATGAACTGTGCCTTTAAATCTTTTAAAATGACATGCTGCCATGCACACGCATCAACAAATGTAACAAGCTGTCAGATAAGTGACTATCTGGAATGAAAACCAGTCAGCTTGAACTAATACCAACTTTTTTTGAATTAAATGTAACTTAAGACGATCATAACTCTATGTTAACAGTCCAGATTTCTAACCAAAACTGTAATTGTCACATTTGCACACTTAATATACAAGCTATATCATTAAAGTGTGAGTAATAGTTTTAATTTTGTCAATCCTTATCTGAGCCTTTGTCTCTATTACGACTCCAATTGTACATTTTCAAATTCCTGGATAGGAAGTTTTTTAATCTGCTGGTTTAAAAAAAATGGTAACAAGTATCAACAGCAGAGGTGTTCAATCCTGGTCCTCGAGGTTTGCTATATGTTGGAGCAGAAACACCTCTAAAACATGATAGCGGCCCTCGAGAACCAGGATTAGACCCCCTGATCTAGAGTCAAATCATGTAACATCAAAAACACWTGTAACATCTGAGGTATGCTAAACTGAATCCAACACAGAAAGAAAATATAAGTTACAAAACAAATTTATTTCTTTAACCAAAACAATAAATCAATGGTTTCATCAAGGAAAACACTAAAACAAGYACTCTGCAAAGACATGAGAAAATAATGTCTTCTGAATTTGCCTACATAGACGTTGGGAGGAGTATATTTAAACAATTTTTTTTTGTTTTGTTTTTTTTTCTTCCTCTAACATCACACACGGTCTTCAGTGGCAGGACACTTCACTCATCTCGACTGTTCAACTGCAAAAAGACAAACAAAAGTTAGAAAATGGCATGGTGACTTTAATTTAAAGAGCACAGGTCATACGTACGGCAAGTTAAAGTGCCTGTGACATGCCCATCCATCGAATACAAAAACACATTTTTATATAAAAAACCTTGCATAAAACGTGATTTTACCCATTTTGTCTCATWAATGGCATATTTTTTTAACTTGGCTCAACCAAAGTGAAACAGGAAGTGACATCAAAGGGGAACTCTTTAAGAAAGAGAACTCTGTGGTCTTTGTTTATTGAAACATTATTTGAACTCTGACTCGTCTTCATCTCTCTGATGGAGACTCAAAATAATCTAAAGAAATATCGGATCCTTCTCTACAGTCTGTGTCGTTAGCTTTTTTTATCAATGCTCTGTTCCATGCAGGCATTCCCCTTTGACATCACTTCCTGTTACTTCACATGCAAATATCTTAACTGTTCATCTCAGCAGCGGGAAATTATTTTTGCAATATGCTAACATTGTTATCTTTCCAATAACGCCTTTATATTTATTTTTAAATTTTCATGTCACAGGCACTTTAAAGTGCTTTACTTTAAAAAGAAGTCTTGTGTAAAGACTTTAAACTGGAGTGATGTGCTCAGATCTCATCAAAATCCAAATTTGAGTAAGTTGTAAATGTTGGAGAGCCCAGTTAGACCATTATTATAATTCAGTCTACTAGATATAAAAGCATGAATGAGTTTCTCCTGGTCTGCTTGGGATAAACTTTTTAATCTAGATGTTCATGTTAAACTCAAGGCTGGATGTGGTCATCATGATTAGTAATTTCATCTTTTTTATTAAACACTCAATGTAAAAAAAAAAAAAAGTATTGTGCTTATTAGAGCAATTAAAAAGTTAAAGATTTTCATTTTCAAAAATGTAACAAGGAACAAAGGCTGAAACCAGTCTGTGAAGGGAGAACTCACTGTAGGAAGAGATGTCGATTTCGTCAGGTAGCTCGGCTACATTGACCTCGAAGCGATCTTGGACTTCGTTCAGGGTCTTGGCATCGGTCTCGTCTGACACAAAGGTGATGGCCAGACCTTTGGTTCCAAACCTGCCGGCACGGGCCACCTGTGGTCGAGAGAGGAGAGTTGGGGCTTAAAAAAACAGACTGGCTGAAAGAAAGATAACAGTTTTCAATGTGACACAATATTGTAACAAACGTTCATACAGGCAACAATCCTTTAAATACAAATTTCTTTGTTGGTAAATTGAAAATCACACCAGTGTTTGTCATCAATAAAATCCTTCTAGAACTGAACTGACTCTGTGAAGGTATGTGTCAGAATCCTCCGGCATGTCGTAGTTGAAGACGATGTTGACTCGTTCGATATCCATGCCTCGGCCGAACAGGTTGGTTGCCACCAGAATCCGCCTTTGGAAGTCTTTAAACTGCTGGTACCGGGATAATCTGGAGGGCAGAATTCAGAGAAAATGTTGACCAAACCAAACCAAAGAGGACCATAGTTGTAAGTGTGAAGCAGCACCCACCTCTCCTCCTGGGCCATGCCCCTGTGGATTGCAATAGCAGGAAAGTTCTGCTCCACCAGCAGCTGGGACAGAGCCACGCAGCGATTCACAGACTTCACAAAGATCACCACCTGTCACGAACCAAAGAAAACCCCTGAGTCCTGGACTATATTCTGCAGCACTGACCACCGAGCTATCGCAGCACCATCTTATTTTCATTACCTGGTTAAACTCGAGCACATCGAGGAGATCAAAGAGCTTTCGGTTCTTCTCGCTGTCCTTCAACTTGCAGTAATATTGCTGTAATCCATGAAGTGTCAGCTTGGTCTCGTCATCCACAAACACTTCCATCGGCTGAAGTACAACAATAAAACACAGAAGCGTTTGTTTTACTAACATAACTCGACACTTTCGATAAAAAAGTATAGGCAAAAATAAAATCTTCCTCATGATTTTCTTGGATTTAAACAGAAAAAACTGGTCTGTTCTCCCGTGCATTAGGATAGTCGTGGGGATCACTGCCCCAGCTGAGTCAGATCTGCTCAGGAGAGTCACTCTGCCCCTCTGAAATGGCCACTTATGTCACAGTCAGACACAAGTGGGCAAAGCTAAAGGGAGCTTAACTTTAAGTGCAGTTACTGACTCTATGATAACAGAATTTTATTTATCAACATGAGCACCCTGTAGGTTCTCTTTAACATTACTTGACAAATTTTTCATTATTTTTGACCTAATAAGTTGAAAATTCACAGTTCTTCCTAAGCTCAAACATCAACTCTGACTTGGATCTTGGTCAATTACAGCAGCTGTGGGGTGAAACAACCGTGTGATTCTATTCTGCACCAAACTGCTGTTTGTATTTTGTGACACATAACTTACATCTTGCATGAACTTGCGGCAGACGGGGCGGATCTCCTTGCTTAAAGTGGCACTGAACATCATAACCTGCTTCTCGTGGGGTGTCAGTCGGAAGATTTCCTGAACGTCACGCCTCATGTCTGTGAGGAAAAACATTTTAGTCAATAACTGTCATTCTATGTGCATAAAAACAGCTCTAATAATGTCGCTATCAGATAAACCTGTTTTGTTTCAGACATACTTGTCCTCTTACTCACCCAGCTGCTCCAGCATCTTATCACACTCATCGAGCACAAAGTGTTTGATGTTTTTCACGCTGAGAGTCTTGTTACGAATGAGGGCCAGCGTACGTCCTGGAGTTCCAACAACAATGTGAGGGCAGTTCTTCTTCAGGACTTCCTCGTCTTTCTTGATGGCCAGGCCGCCGAAGAACACCGACACCTTGACGGTGGGCATGTACTTGGAGAAACGCTCGTACTCTTTGCTGATCTGGAAGGCCAGCTCCCGCGTGTGGCACATCACAAGGACAGACACCTGGCACAAAAAGGAGAGGATAGGACTCATCACATGTTAAATCTAATTTCGTGAATGTGCAACCAATGTCATGTTTATGAACTACAAAAAAATAATCAAATAACTAGAAATGTTAGACGGTGAATGCAAAGAAATAAAAAGCAAAATCAGCACGATAGAGATTCGTCAGTTTACACTTAGGACCATCTCACCTGTCCGTCCACAGGTTCGATCTGCTGCAACGTGGCAAGAACAAACACAGCCGTCTTTCCCATTCCAGACTTGGCCTGACACAGGATGTCCATCCCAAGGATCGCCTGAGGAATACACTCATGCTGAACTAAAAAGAAAACAAATGGCAAAGCAAGTGAGTAAAAAAAATAGATCAATATTTTTACACAATTTAACTTATTTTCGGACAACGAACATTAAAGATTAGATGCAGGACTTTCAGAACTTTGCAGGCTTTTTCTTCCATTTCGAACAACAAAAATGCTAAGGTAGTAACAATGGTCGATATGTAAAATAATTTTTTAAACATTCATTAAACTACAACTCACCTTCTGAAGGATGCTCAAAACCACAGTCAACAATGGCCCGGAGAAGCTCTGGTTTCAGCAGGAAGTCTCTGAAGCCAGAGCTGTGGATGGAGACATAGGAACCCTTAACCTCTTTCTTTCCTGCTGGTGTACCGCTCTCAGGGAGTCCCTGGGGCTCCTCATCCTCCTCATAGTCCAAAAGCTCATTATCAACATCATTCTCTGCCATCTAGGGGAAACAAAGACAGAAAAGTTTAGATATGTTTTTAGCTTTGAAATGCACATATTTTTTATGGCTGAAAAACAAATCAATCAAAATTTTGCAATGGCCCAGTATAAGCCCAAACGTGGTGGGACCTCAAGAGAGCTATTTGGAAACAAAATGCCAACAAATGTCAATGAATCAAAGCAATGTTGTGATGAAGAGTGGGCCAAAAGACCTCCGAAACAATGTGAAAGACTTGATTTATACAAGTACACTTAAATACTGATATGATGTAAAATGCCATAATGCTGTTGATCTCGAGCTCTATCAGTCTTAATTTAAAACATGTTGAATCCTAGTTAATATTGTGTCTGTGTTACAGAAAATTCCCAAAAGAATAAGGGTGTACTCTTTAACCACACTGTCTACATTCATATCAATAACATTTGTAACACATACATATTTTAAATTGATCAGTAACCAACTTTATATACTATAAGTGATAAGACCAAGCCAAATAATATGTATATAGAAAACAAGACTCGACTGATATAATGTAATAACCTTAATCGAAATTAGCAATTTTACTTACTCGTAAGTAGTTAGTAGCTAGTTAGTTAGCTTGGGCTAACGTTAGCAGGCCTTGGCTCCCAACAAAATGTACAAGTTATTAATAATAAGAAAGGCAATAATAACTTCTGCGTGTTCAGTTTTTAACAAAAGGTTTGGTACAGTAAATATATTTGTGAACCGGAAGTATATTTTACTCAAAATGAGTGCAATCCGCTCTCGTGAGCTGAAATGAACCCACATAAACAATGAAGTGTCTTTCATTCATACTAGACTGTTAGCAGCAGGCTAGCAAGGACGAACATTTCGCCCCCCAAAATTAACACACTAGCATAACACCGTACTACACGTGTTGCTGCAAGTCAAGAAGATTCTGGAAACCAAAAATCCCACCGCACTCGCAGCTACTTTTAGCGAAACAGCTAACGCTATTTCATTTTTGCGTCAAGCATGTCTCAACTAACTAGCGAAGCAACCATTAAATCTGAAACATCGAACATTCATCTAAATATATGTCCACTCTTTAAATGAACGAGGTACAAACACATGCTAGCGTACTTTGTGAAAAGCACAAACATTACTGGATACGTTACCTTAAGTTTGTTTTTGCTGTAAAACGTGATACTTTCGTGTTAGCTTTTAGCTAGCTACAGGACAGGGCTGCACACTCAAGTGATGCGTTCACTTACACCTCGGACTTGCGACACATTCAATAAAAACATAGGTCATGAAACGCAAACGATTATAATAAAAAAACACATCTATTTAAAAATGTTGTTTTTTATTTTATTTGTAGCGCGCTACGTATTTTCGTTAACCTGAACCAATACATTTTTAAATTGATATCAAATTAAATAAAATTCCTCGTGACCAAATTTGTATTGAACAACCATTGAAGGCAACAGTGGTGGACAAAAGTTAATATGGAAATAAATTATACCGATAAATAATTTGGATCTTTATGAAAAATATACAGTGTGTACAGCCATGACTATTTTACCTTCTTAATTACTTTTACTTTTTATGCTTAATTGGATCAAAGTGCTCTGACAAATGAGTAGAATTGTCAAAGAAAAACATTAAAACACTTTCAGAAAGCTTTTGCGAAGTGGAAAAGAGTGCTCCAAAAGGGACTGTTGGTAGATAATTTACAATTTCTCACAAAATATAAAACAGATTGATGCAACAAATGATTTAATAGTTCAAATAGTTCCAGGTTTAGGTGCTCTTTAGACTAGAGACTGCAGGACCCAAATTGTCCATGTGATGGCAGTAAGATATTGGTTTAATGATACACAGTAATACACAACTAAAGCCATTTAGTTTTTTTTAAGTACACCTCAGATGTTATTTCATATTTGTGTGTGAAAGAGCTGTTAAATGTTAAAGATCAAAGTGAATTTCCGCAGCTACAATCTTATATAATCCTTATTTCAGAGACAAACTGGTATATGGACATTGGACTAACTGTCTTATTACAGTATAAATGGGACTGGCCTCTTCTGGGCTGAGGATCCAAGGTCAGGCTTCTTTGACTTTGGCTTGAGTGTTTTACTGCAAAGCCTATGTCTATAAAATCTGGCTGACCAGTTTAAAAAATTGTATGACTGCCCTTTTTTTCTCCCTTGAGCCAAGTTGTAAATCTACATGAGTACTGGGAGTTGAGGGTTTAGTGGGATGTGAACTCTAAAATAACTTCCATAGTGCAGCAAGCAGAGAGGAATAAATGAGGCATATTACTTTTTTCATAGTATATAAATCTGTTTTGCACAGTGACAGCAAGATTGTTCAGGAAATACACAAGCTTAAGTTGATCCTAAAGTACTTGTATTTTTACAGTATTTGTACATTTATATTCACACATGCAACTACACAGTTATTACAAAATAACAGCACTAAAATTTTTTTTTTTTATTTGACCATTCGACTACACTAATGTGTTAAAATGCATTTGTATATATTTATGCATGGAAAATTATCAAATCTATCGCTGCCTCACCACACACTCTGCAATACCCATAAGCTTCTCCTAAGGACACAAAAAACTTGCTATTATTACCACAAGACCCTTATTTAAAGCCCAGCTACGAAAGAGGAGATTGACCTAAACAATTACTAATAGCATGTTTGTGACATGTTTAATTATTCAGCTGCCTACGCGCATAAATCCGTTTAATTGACATGCGGTGACACCTGCGGGATCTGCCTTTCCGCAGAATAAAACTCCACAGTGATTGGCTCGATTTGTTGTCCTTCAGACCGGTAGACCAACAGCGCAGCTTTTCTATTGGTTGAAGACTTGTCAATCACGTCTCGTTCTGCAATCTTATTGGTCCGCCTCGAAGGAAGGCACAACGCCAGCCATTCTGTGTAATTTACTGTGTGATTGATGCGGCCGTGTATATTACATCCCTGTTGAAGCGTTGGCTAGATCGCACGGCTGTCATGCTTATTTTAGAGGTCGCTTCCAGTCTTTTCCAGCTTACCCGGCTGAGTCAAACAGCCCGGCCCGCCTTCGACTAGCTAGCTTTCGCGACCGGTGGCGGTGGCGCTGCGCTGCMCTCCCGGTTCGGTTGAAGACGGCAGGAGGAGGAGGAGGATGGCACTGCGCTGGACTGTCTGTCTGTGCTCGTCCTCGGTGGCCTATTAAAGATTTTTAATTAGCTGGTAACACGCGTTTACGACGGAGCGACGATAATGCGAACCGTCATGATTATGGAAACGAAGAGCAGGTAAGCATTTCRTGGTTTATTCGAGGTTTTAGCCTCGAGCGTCTTATCCTATTAGTTAAAAATAAAACAGTGGTAAATAAGCAGACAMCCAGCTTGCTTCTCAGAACATGTTGCTAAACGGGACGCAGCCCATTCATCAAACCCTTTCCTAATAAGACGCAGCTCAGACGGTGTTTCCTCAGCGTCCCGTCCTCATTTCATGTCGTTACACAATCGTGTTGTTGTGAGGGGGAAAAAAAAAAGCCGGGACACTTGGAGCCGCAAAGAGAGGCCGTGATGTGTCATTTCAGCCACAGATGTTGATCCAGTGCAGAGCATGTGTTTGCAGGCCTATTGAGAAAGCAGCAGCAGCAGGAGTCCAGGAGAGGGAGATGTCCAAACAAACCGGTCTGTAGGATTATTATTGGCTCAACATGGATTAAACCACAAGACATCTTCAGCTCTGGGGCATCAGTGGRCAAATAGAGTTAATGTTTTACCAGCAAGCATCTTCATCCAGTTGTTACTAATAGGACATAAGAATCTGAAGAGAAACTATAGCATTTTTGTATAAAATTGGAAGAATTTCAGTACAGCTATAATTTCAGTATATGTCTATGTTCTTCTATAAGGTGTAATAATCACAAAATGCCTACATTATTATGTATAATTTAAGGAAAACCAAGAAAGCTGCCAGTGTTCACCGTAATAACCATACCTGAGTATGTCACTCCCTGACAGGTCTCCTAATAAAACAGGCAGACAGAAATGCATACTGGAAAGTAAASGTGGTATCCCACTGGGCTGTGACTGGTGAGTGAGTCTCCAAAATGTCTTTGTGGTTGTTAATCTCCTGGCATGGGTCACAGGGGAGTTTAGAACATGTTCGGGTAATTTGTGCCTAAAAAAGTCGCTGAGATTTCTCAAGAGAGCATCTTGACACCTGCACGGGGGTCAGATGTCTGGGTCTGAAAACAAGAGGCAAGAGGTGGACAATAATGTGCACAGCCAAGAACGCAGTTTTGCAAGAAATGCATTTGAAAATAGGACTTGACTTTCAAAAACCGGTCATTTAAAACACGACCACGTGTACTGAAAACAGCTCAGTGACACTGCAATAAAAAAATTTGCATATTTTCTTGTAACTTTGAGTTACCAACTAGTCTGTCTCAGACTATTAAGATACCACCTTAAGCCCCAAACAAAAGGACACTGATCAAAAACTATAGGTGCGTTGAAAGATTTCTGAACTGTGAAACTTCTGCTCATCACACATGTTGATTTGTGTGTACAGTATTTATGTAGGAGATTTGACAATTAAAGATCCTTCAATTCTAGTTTTAAAAAGAAATATGAGTCATTTAGAGTTTGGATGTTTGCACTTGAATTAAAAAAACATGCTATAGCAGTGGAAATGCTTAGGTTTTCATATGAAAACTGTAAAAAAATCATTGTGAAATAATCATTAAAGATATCAAAATGCTTCTTCATTTACATAAAATTCAACTTTCTGTGACCTGTTTGAACTTTYACTGTTTCTTGTGTGAAGTATGTCTGAGCTGGTGAGCTCTGAGGAGCACRTTTCACTTCTTTTACCAAATCCCATTCTTATGTATGGTGGAATTTTCCATGTTTTTGCAAAGTTTATCAATGTCTTATGATGTAGTGCTGGCACAAGTCAAGCTGTGTGTTTTTTTTTTTACACAAGTTTCTCCAAAGCTGCGTGAAGAAAAGAGAATCTATAATTGTGCCCAAAACAGAAGAATAACARCCAAAAGAGTAAAAAGAGAGCTTTAATGTTTATGCATTGACACCCTGGATTAAATGTAAATGTGTTTCTTTAGAAGAAAAAAGTCATTCTAATGAAGGTGAACCTTATCAAATATGCTACATCTGCCTGTAAGACTGAAACCAACACAACACTTAAGCAGAGCAGTCCTGAATGTGCAACAAAGTTAAATGAGTCACTCTTGTAAATCTAGGCCAGACTAATATAATTTTAAATATGTGAGTGTAATAAATTCTGCAAAACCACGCTTGGCTTATGATACTGAGGGATTATGAATATAGCTGAGTAGTCACAATATCAAAGRGCTCCCTCAAGCACTCATCTTTTTTAGGGGAGGTGGATTATTCCCACTTTGTTTGTTAAATACACCTTTTAATGCCTCACAGCTGAGGGCATGTACCAATGAGCAATGAGCTCTTCGTATGAGGTGCCTTTTACTCTTATCTGTAAAATCCACTTGCTGTGCAAAAGTCACATAATTTGCAGTCAAGGAAATGGGTATCAGATTCTCACATTCTGGTGACCTTGTTTTTTTTTTAAGCTGCAAAGACTCGAAACTTCTGCTTTTTTGGATTTGCACACACACAAAAGGCTAAACTGTGTTATCTCTGTGACATGAAAGCAAACTTCAGCTTTTCCTCTGCTCTAACTGCTTCCGTATTATTCATCTGTGGAGCGGAGCGCTGAGACAAAACGCKCTGCCCAGTGTCTTTTAAGATAAGCAGTCCACGAGTTGTGCATCCAAACCACCGCTGTCCATGTTTACTACCGTCTGCTGCCTTTTTTTAGCTGTACAAACAGGGATGTCTGCGTCAAACATGAGCCACTTATCTGGGTCATAACACAGACAGGCTGAATACCATCAGGGATGAAGAAAGCAAAGATAAGGTCTTAGCAACATCTTGCAGCTTAATATGTCTCCAGTGTCCCAGTAAATAAAGCMTAACACAGATAGTTAAAATCAAACGCAGGAGCTTTAGGCTTAAAACCAGGCGAAGAGAGAAAAAAGTAAAGTGATTTTATCAGCTCTTTTACAAAATCTTTGTAGTGGAAGCAATTAGATATTTCAAAGATTTCATTAAAAGTGGCTGATGTTTGGAAATATAATAATGATAATGACTTTTGGGTTATTCTTTCTAGAAATATGTAATAAATAAAAATATTCGGTAATTTGTAAAATCTTAACCAGGTTTTTCTCTAATTTGTCTGCTGAGAGGCAACTTCCTGTTGTTGCGTTTCGCTCCAGTCCATCTTTATCACTGCAGAGTTTATGAACAAGTCATTAGCTAGACGCTACTGTCATGATTTGTCAGTTTTCACCTTGGTTTTCCTTGTGTTTCTATGTTCCCCAGTGTGTCTCAGTCCAGCTGCCCCTTATTTGTTTGATTAGTCACCCTCGTGTTTCTCCCCAGGTGTTTTGTGTTTCAGTTATTAGTCTTCTGTGTATTTAAACCCTGTCCTGTCTCAGTCTTGTGTCAGATCATTTTGTTTGCTGTGTTCTGTTCCCCCGTCTCTGTGATCAGCATCTGTAAGTTTGAGCTGTCTCTACAGCATTTTTGTTACTTTAAAATAAATTTTTGTTCTACTTTTGGAGCCTGCCTGCGCCCTGGGTCTGTTCATGCTGAATCCTCACAGCTACAGATAAGACACCAAACCTTTAGGAGGCTTGGATTCAGTACTACAAATAATACTCTCAGGTAACTCTGAAGCCTACTGCCCACATGTCAAAGGTTAACATGATAATTTATTTTACATTTAATGCCAGTCATTTTGCACATCATGACAGCCTAAAGAGCCACATCCTCTCCTGGACAGCTGCCTCTGTTTGCGGCTGCAGCTTCAGCCTCGGTCTTCGTTTCTACTTGACTTCCTTGTTATATCGCCAGATTTATGTTCACTGGTGAAATATATAATCCCCTTTTTTCTTCCTAATTTTAAATACAGTCAAGCATTTTGAGCATTCAGTCTAATAAACTATAGTTTAGAACATTTATTGCAAWGTAAGAAATCAAATAAAAATAAATATTCTGAACTACTGGGTGAATCAAAAGTCAGAGGACACTCTTTTATTTTTGAAACAAAAGGGAAAATGACACATGTGAATACCCCCAGCAAGTCATGCCCACCATAWTGGATCAGAGGCAAGTTTWTCTAGAGATTGGTCCCCTCAATCRTTACTTGCTGGGGTATTCAGATATGTTTTTTTTTCCCTTTTTGTTTTGGAAATAAAAGGGTGTCCTGTGACTTTTGACTCACCCTAAATAGTACAGTGTAAAATAATTTACTGCAGTTTTATTTTTATTTTTTCAAATAAACTGGTATGCAATTCTGAAGTTCAAGTATGCACTCAATGTAAACAAAACACTTTAAGCTACACACTTTGCGCAAATACAAAACCATTAAAATTACTGGACTTGTTGACCAATTTTCAGCCACGTCAGCTGTTTCTGACAGGATTCAGGCAGGAAGAGAMCCAGGGCGCAGGCGAGGTTCAAAAAGGTAACAAAAAGCTTTAATTTAACCAAAAATGCTGGCAAGGCAGCTCAAAAACACTTTCAGAACAGAGGCAAAAACTCACAGGCACGCAGACAAAACAGGAAACAATGATCCGACAAACACTGATGACAAGACAGAATATAAAGCAAACTAATTAAGAGACAATGGGAAACACCTGGGGAGACACAGAGGAACAGGTGAGCGTAGGCGGGGCTGGAGGCAAGACAACAGGGAAGAGATACACTGGTACCAGAAACGCACTGGGACGTGTCTTTAAGCTGAGCTTCCTCATGGCAGAGTTCTCCCCCCACACCCCGCCCATGACTCCTGCAGGCTCTCGGGTGAAAGTGAAAGCGAAACTTAAACTGTCTGCTGAGCTCCACTATTTCTCACTCAGTGAAGCTCTTTTCAGATTAAAAATACCTTTGAGGAAATGTATTTTCAGATGCCAAATAAACTGCATCATGGCTCCCCCGCTCCCCCCACACGCG